GAGAGAGAGAGAGAGAGAGAGAGAGAGAGAGAGAGAGAGAGAGAGAGAGAGAGAGTGAGAGAGCCATAGTGAATATAGCCTGAACAGGCTTTGCAATTAGCTTAAAGAGCTTATTAAAGATAAAACGTTCATTGGAGTATAACATAAAATTAACATGAGATATAACATGCATGTTAAGGAAGATAAGGTATGAGAACTTTTTAATAAAAAGTTTACACTCAATGAGTAATGTCCAATCAAGTTAGTTTATTAGCTCTTAACTTTTACACATAAATAGAACTTTTATTCTGAAGAGAGCTAAGCCCAATTTAAAAGACATAAAATACATGCAAAGAAAAGTTTCATAGCTGCAATATAAAGATCCTCAACGAACGAATAACATCTTCTTCCACTAACTCATAAATATGCATAATTTCTGTTGTTAAGTCGTTACTCCAATAACCAATTATATGATTTATATAAAATTCTTTGATGGTTATTCAATATACGAAGGGCCTTGACTAGTGTGGCCTTATGGAAAGTCAGCAAGCCAAGTTTTAATGTTGTTGCGAAAGTTTCGCAAAGCAACTTAAAACCGAAAACAATTGCAAAAGTTGTATTGCATAGCGAAGTTTTACTGTACCAACCAGCATGGCAAGTACTTTGCTTTGATAATCCAATTAAAGCTGTTCGCCCACGAATCTCGTGCAGTGCGAAATGTGCAAAGTTTTGCGACGAAAACTTTCTGCTAATGGCCAAAACAGATATCGAGAGCAACAAAACGATGTCCCAGCCAGCAGTCAATGTGCTAGAAATATAAATACTTGCCCGTATTTCTCTACTTGTGCTCTTTATTTTCATTTTTATTTAGCTGAAGAGTCGACGAATTTCCCCAGCGTACAATTGACACATTTTCTTCGGGCACAAATAAATAAATACGAGGCTAATCATTGGCGAACGTATTGGCCGTACCTTGAAAATGATACGCAAGGGATTCATTAGAGGCGATACTCTTACGCCAGCCATAAATACGCGCACGAACCATCGATAATAAGGTTAGCAAGCCATAAAAAGCGAACCTCGAATTTGTAGCCATCCATGCAGGAATGTGCCATCGACAATAAAATGCTAATGATTGATTCGCACGAGCCCATGGAGTGCAGTTTGGGGCAGGGCCCGAACGAAAGGCTCCACCACGTGTAAGTCATTTGGGTTTTCTGGCTTTAAATTGGGGTCCGCTGACTTTTGCATTCGTAATTATATGCGAAACAAAAATTGGGCATCTCTGTATGTATACTCTGTAAATGCTATGCAGACCAACAATCGGACAGGCCGTAGGCAGCTAATGATGACTGGGCGCAAATGTACAAATCTTAATTATGCAAATCACGGCCGTGCATAAATTATGTAAATTATAATGAAATTCCTGATGGAAAGGCAAGGCAGACCGTTTTGTGCCCAAAAATTACATTATGTATACATATACATATATATATTCCTCTATATATTGATGAAATGTGAAAATCAAACATTTAATTCGAGGGTGGAAAAATAAATTGCAATGTAAATGCAGCATAAAAACTGAATTAGTATGCGAACAATTCCAAATGTGAGAGCGAAAATGAAACAAACAGAAAGAGAGAGGGAGGGCGAGCGAGGGGAGGGATCGAGAGGTGGTAGAAATCCTCTGCAATTACTCTATATATAAAGAGGCCCCGAGCCGACAACTCGCACAATGCACACACAAATGGAGGGCTGTCCACATTCGCATAGGGTGCAAAGAGTTTTTGGGAAATAGAGGCGAAATAATGACATACGGCTGCCGGGCCCATAACATCTGACACAATAATTGACGATGCCCGAAAAACTTCAGGGCCCCAAGCGGAAATAAATCATTTTCAAAACTGTAAAAATTCACGCTTGCTTCAATCATAAAAGTCAGCAGTTTTTTCTATTGTAAATAAAAGTAAACTGTCTGTTGCAATCCTTCACCTCAACACTGAGTCAGAAAC